CCTACATATATACTAGCTTTCGACTTCACTATTAATCTATATCTTTGAGGCCACAAGATATATTAAAGGGGATTTGTTACTAATAAGTACCAAAGTTAGAGCCTGTGCTATATTATTTCAATAACATTACTCTCATTCATCTGCATTCTGCTAGGATTTCTAGAAAAAGAAAAATGTATAGGTTAAGAGCTAGACCCAAATCCTGTCTGGCTGCTCTTACGGGAACAGGTTGGTAATGGAAAAGTTGTCAATCATGTATGCTTCTGTGGAGCAATGGCTAAGAATTGCTACCTGAAGGCAACGCTCTCTAAAACACACATAAGCTATTGGAAAACATGACAATGAACAGTAGCTGCTTCTTTTTAATGGTAAAAATTTCCAAGAGACAAAAATGCAAGATCTAGGAAATGGCAATTTGTTTACACTTCTGAATATGAACATAGGTTTATATTTTAACTTATGCAGATACACAAATAATACTGCAAAAAGTAAAGATCATTTCTCTGGAACTAGTTAATCATAGCTTAGCCCTGAATTTGTGGCAAATATACTGGACAAGGCTGCTTTCCTAGGAACTGCTGGTTGAACTCACAAAAGAAACAGAAACATCTGCATTTTGTTGGTTAGGACCAGAGTTCAAAGTCTGTTGAAAATCTGCTAGGTTTTAATAACAGTACAATCAAGTATGTGAAATATGAATGTTTATGAGTACAATTAACCAACTTTAATTTTCATCCAGGTCATCCTTCAAATCAAATACATTCTGACACATTAGAACATTCATATTTTTTAACTGCTGCTAGACTTATCAAAGAAGAAAGCAATAAGGTGTATAACTATTTAAGGCTGTGGTAAAACAAACATTTTTAAGTTGTGCCAGTGGCAATACACATGGAAAGAATTGTGGAAAGGCAGTCAACAGTATCAAAAGCTACTAAAATGTTTAAAAACTAAACTAAAATGTTTATACTTTTTGACCCAATAATGATACTTCCAGATGTCATAAGGAAATAATCTGCAAGAAGCTTTATATATAAGAATGGTTATCTAACTACCAGAGGAAAAACTTGCTAATGTTCAACATTTACCAATGATGAACTTATTCTGAAACAGACTTACTATGAACCAGGCACTATTCTAGATGCTAAAGATCCAAGGTTATAAGACAGACAAGGTCCCTGCTCCCGTGGAGCTCAACATTCTACTGGAAGGAGACAGATAAACAGGTAAAGAAAATCATACCAAGAATGATAAATGCCACACAGAGAATCTAAGTGGGGTGACATAATAGAGAATGAGGGCGGATCACTTATAGCTTAATCAGGAAGATGAAATTTCAGTTGAGATCTGAGTAACAAGCCAGACAAGTGAAATACAGGGTAACAGCTTTCCAGACTAAAGAATAACGAGTGCAAAGGCCCAGAAGAAGGTATAAATCTGGACATGAGCAAGAAAAGAGGCCAGTGTTGCAGGAGTCTACTGAGTAAGAAGAGTGTGGGGCTTCCCTGGTGGCGCAGTGGTTGAGAGTCCGCCTGCCGATGCAGGGGACACGGGTTCGTGCCCCGGTCTGGGAGGATCCCACATGCCGCGGAGGGGCTGGGCCCATGAGGCATGGCCACTGAGCCTGCACGTCCGGAGCCTGTGCTCCGCAATGGGAGAGGCCACAGCAGTGAGAGGCCCGCGTACCGGAAAAAAAAAAAAAAAAAAAAAAGAAGAGTGTGGAGGAACTTCCCTGGTGGTCCAATGGGTAAGACTCTATGCACCCAATGCCCGGGTTTGATCCCTGGTTGGGGAACTAGATCCTGCATGCATGCTGCAATTAAGAATCCACATGCCACAACTAAGAAGTCTGCATGGTGCAACTAAAGATCTCACATGGTGCAACTAAGACCCCCATGCAAATAAATAAATAAATATTTGAAAAAATAAAATATCACTCTAGCTGCTGTATTCAGAATGGATTTGGCAGGATGGGACATGAAATTTCATAAGCAAAAAGAATACTTGGGATCTGCTGCAGTAAGGTAAGAGATAATGATGTCTTATCCAGAATATATAAAGAGCTATTACAACTCATCAACAAAAAGACAAACAACCTATTTAAAAAATAGGCAAAGGATGTGAATAGACAGTTCTCCAAAAAAGATATATAAATGGCCAACAAGCACATGAAAAGATGCTCAACATCATTTAGTCATTAGGGAAGTGCAAATCAAAACCATAATAACATATCACTTCATACCCACTAGGATGGCTATAATCAAACAAGGAGACAATAGTAAGTGTTGGTGACGATGTGGAGAAATAGGAACTCTCACACATCGTTGGTGGTTATAATAAAATGGTGCAGTCACTTTATTTATTTACTTATTTATTCTTTAAAGACTTTTTTTTTAATGTGTATCTTTTTTTAAAGTCTTTATTGAATTTGTTACAATATTGCTTCTGTTTTATGTTTTGGTTTTTTGGCCGAGAGACATGTGGGATCTTAGCTCCCTGACCATGGTTCCGCTACAGCAATCTTTTGAGCCAGCAATTCTACGCCTAAATATATACCCAAGAAAACTGAAAACATACGTCCATACAAAATTTTATACACAAATGGTGATAACAGAATTATTCACTGTAGCCAAAAAGATGAGACAACCCAAATGTCCATCAACTGATGAATGGATAAGCACAACATGGTACATCCATGCAATTAAAAGAAATGGGGACCTGAACGAACTTTTGGCCAATGTATCTCGGTTAAAAAAAGAGATGATAGTATCTTGAATGGGTATTAGTGGAGAGAAATCAAAGCGCACTGATTCAGGATCTGTATGGAAATAGTCAACAGAACTTTCTTAAAAATTGGTTATAAAAAGTGAAGGAAAGTGAGGAATCAATCAACGCTAACTCCACATTTGTGGCTTGAGAAACTGGTGTTGCTAGTGCATCAATGTTACTGCTTACTGAGATGGAAAGGCTGTGGGAATAGAGGTGTATGAAATAACACTAAGAGTTCAGTTTTGGCTACATTTGGTTTGAGATGTACCTAACAGACATCCATGTGGTGAGGGAAAACAGGCAGTTGGATAAACAAGTCTCAAATTCAGAGCTAGACATCTGAGAACTTCCAGTACAGACATGCCATTTTAAGTCCTAGAGCAGATGAGGTCACCTAGTGAGAGTTTATAGTTAGAGAAGAGAAGGGGGCTATGGGTTGGGCATAAGGAATCCCACACAGATATTGGGTAGAGGAGGAAAAGCTGTTAAAGGAGTCTAAAAGGAGCAGCCAAGGAAGAAGGTATAAGACTAGTAGATTAAAACGTGTTACCGAAGGCAGGAGAAAAAAGTCTTTCAAAAGTGTAGTCAAATATATTAAAATGTTGCTGAGAGGTAAGAGACATAAAGCAAAGAACTGACCACTGAGTCAGCAATCTGGAGGTAAAATCTCAATACAGGGCTTCCCTGGTGGCACAGTGGTTAAGAATCCACCTGCCAGTGAAGGGGACATGGGT